AAGGCCGCTATTGAAGCATCCTGGTCTTCCATAACACCTCAGCAGTGCCACAGGCTGATAGCTTCCATGCCACGCCGCATTGAGGCAGTAATTGCTGCAAAAGGGGCCCAAACCAAGTACTGAGTACATATGCATGCTTATACTTTTCAGAGGTCCGATATTGTTCTATGTACAATCCTTGTTTTATTGATTGCATGTAATATTCTAATTTTCTGAGATTGTGGATTTGGGGTTTTCATGAGCTGTAAGCCATAATCATCACAATTATGACAAATCACGGCTTGAACTATCTTGCTTTGCATGTAATGAGTCTATCTCATTTTTAAGTTTGCATTAGTGAAATAAATGAACTTTTGCACGATATTCGAATTATTCGAGTTTCAGCTGTATTCCCTGCCACACTGTTCACCAATGGAAGCAAAGAGAAAAGAAGCCCTGTATGCTTTGATTTACACAAAGCTAATGACCTATTCGCTTCCCCGGCATTACAACACTGGTGCCTGGCAATTGACACCTAACATTGCATATGTGTAAGAAGCTGTTAAGCAAACCAGTTACTTTGCCCTGTGTAAGTTAAGCACTTTCATTTTAAAATGTAAGAGAAAAAATGTTTCTCTTCCTTTCATTGATTGACACATGGAATAGATCCTAGATCATGCACCGTAGGGGTATATCGCCTCCTGCAGGAGAAGGATGCTAGGCACAAAACAAAAGACAGCCTAGGGGCAGCCCCTGATGGTGGCCAAACCCCCCACCTGCTGACAAGTCTCCATTTTTTTTTTTTTTGCTTAGCGTCAGGAGTAAGGAGCGAATAAATATTTCTCCTTTTTTTTGTTTTTTTCCTCTTCTTTTTTTTTTTTTTGCTGTATCTTCAAGCATTTGCTGGATGAGTGTGGATCCTTGTAGTCTCCCCTGTAGACCAACGAGCGCATGCAGACTCCGCCACGGTGGTCAGCTGCAACTACTGATTTTTTTCGCCGCCTGTGGGTGTGTCCCGGTGGGGTGCATATGACTGGGGGTCTCGGCCTGCCAGTCGCAGCACTCCACTCAGGCTGGCGGCGCTGTGACTGAGGTCAGGGGCATTTTTTTCCGCCATCCCTGCACACCCTGTTTGCAGTGGTACGCTCCCGTGCCGACTTCCTGGAGGTGCTCTCTGGGGTCTGGCCGTTTCCCCTGGTGTGGCATGTATAAGGGGTCTGCCGGGGCCATGCGGAGGAACTCTGACTGCTGGATATCTCCCTGGTATCTGTCCCTTGTGAGTAGGCCATGTTACGCCATGTCCCTGCCCCCTTCCTCGTGGGAGCCTTGTGGTGTTCGGCCAGCCTGAGGTACAGCACTGTGGAATATGGCAGATACAGTAATACCTTGGTTTACGAGCATAATTCGTTCCGGCAGCATGCTTGTAATCCAAAGCGCTTGTATATCAAAGCGAATTTCCCCATAGGAAATAATGGAAATTCCGATGATTCGTTCCACAACCCAAAAATATTCATATAAAATTATTACAATACTGTACTGTTATATAATACTGTACAAAATATAAAGAAAAATAAACCAATTACAGGTACCTTTGTGGCCGGTGTGAGGGGGACAAGAGAAAGGAGGATTATTGTGTAGGACAACATTTACTATCACTAAGGGAATCACTGCTATCTCTTGACTCAATGGAATCTTTTTCATTACGTGAAACCTTAACAAGGAATCTATCCAATGTGACATGCATTGTCGTTAAACAGACTCAACGCTCGCACTCAGGGCCGGACTGGGACTTAAAATAGGCCCGGGCATTTTAGACTGAGCAGCCCAATCACGTGACCACCAACAGGCCCCCACCCCTCAACAGGGGGCGGGGCCAAACACAGAGGCGCAATCGAGGGGCAGGGCCGGCCACTACTAAGTACCGGAGGGCAACAGCTGACACACAAGCCTTGCTACAATATAGGAAGCTTGCTATAGAGAATATCTGTAAAAAATAAGTTAAGGCAACTGGACTTGCTGTATTTTTATTGAAGACGTTTCACTGGTCATCCGACCAGCATTCTCAATTCAGAAATTTCTGAATTGAGAAAGCTGGTTGGATGGCCAGTGAAACGTTTTCAAGAAAAATACAGAAAGTCCAGTTGTCTTGACTTATTTTTTTACAGATATACCATGTGACCTGGATGAATGAACCTTCACAGACATATTACTATAGAGAATCGGATCTCACTGGCCCCCCAACCCCCCTGGCATTCTCTGCACTAAAGTAGCTAACACTCTAATGTTCCCCGCACAGTCACACACTATTATTATACATTTATAAAGCTCTGACATATACCGCAGTGCTGTACAGAGAAGTCACATCAGTCTCTGTACAGAGGAGCTTACACTCTAATGCAGAATACCATCAGCTATAGAGGACTAAAAATCCCTGCAAAACATTATCTCGGGCGCCCCCCCACACACTAAATTTACCCCACTCGGCTGTGGTCTCAGGTGGGCTCTCCAAGGTCTGTGGTGCGCTCTGCGGGGTCTCAGGCTGCTATGCCCACCTGAGACCCTGCAGAGCCCACCATAGACCCCGAGACAGATCCTGCAAATCCCCCCTGGGACTCGGTTGATGATTTTTACAGATCCTGCACAGCATCAGGGGGCTGTGCAGGATCGTGGTTGGCTCTGCCCACCATAGACCTCGCAGAGCTCACCACAGATCCTGCAAAGGCCCCTTGAGACCAAGCAAAGTCCCCCACAGATCCTGCAAAGGCCCCTTGAGACCAAGCAAAGCCCCCCACAGATCCTGCAGAGACCGTGCAGGATCTCAGGGGGGCTCTGCAGGATCTGTGGTGGGCTTTGCAGACTGCAGAGCCCCCTCAGATCCTGCAGAGCCCACCAAAGGGTATTGCACAGCACACCTGAGACTCTTTTTGGTGGGCTGTGCAAAATCTATGCTGGGCTCTGACAGCACAGTCCTCTTACCTTGCATGGCCTGACCTCCCTTGGAACGCGGCCTCCTTGTCATCTTCGCTGCCCGACTGGAGCTTCGGCCAACGCCTCCCGCCTCCTCCGTCAGTGTCTCTGCCTCTTCCGTCTTGGGGGCATTCGACACATTTTGGGGGCTGGTTGCCACATTTCATACTTTAAAATAAAGTGCAACTATATCCTGTTTAAGTACTACAGACACCAATATACACAATAAGGTCCTATTCATATCTAGGTTTCCTGCAGCAGAAATCCCTAATCTGGCGTCTAATGTTCGGCCCGTCCCGGCCCCTATGCCGAAGCTGCTGGCCGCCGATGGGTGCGGGGGAGGGGAGATGGTGCCGTCAGATGAGCTGGTACTGGTACTGGAAAGTGACTGGTATGCCCGATGGCCAGTCCGGCCCTGCCGGCTGCCAATGTAATGAAACTATTCGCACTGACCGCCAATGTAGCGAAAGTGCTGTGCTAGAACTCCTGTCCTGGAGGTGACAGGGTCAATAAAGAGAATCTGTCACCTCCAAATGCTATCACACAGGGGTTGTTAGCTCCTGTGTGATAGCAATAAAGTTAAGTGAAAAAAATAAAAAAAAAAGAATTAAATAAATATAAACAAATTGGTACAAAATAATTAAATAAAAAAATTAAAAGGTGATTAAAAAATACTAAGAAATAAATGAGAAAATAATTATAAAAAATAAACGATAATAAGATCAAAAAAGGGGAAAAAAACAATAAAAAAAATTAAAACTAACCCTGCCGCCCCTGCCATTCTCCATTGATGGGGGAGAGGGGGGGCGCATTGTGGAATCTGGCCTTGGAACGGCAGGGAGAGTAAATCCCTGACCATACACATACCTTGTTCTTGCAGTCTTCTCTTCCTTAGCAGGGGGGGGGGAGGGGTGGCGATTTGCATATGAATGAGCCGCAATATTTACATATGTATGGGTTGCGGCTTATTGATATGCAAATTACCGCAACCCATTCATATGTTAATATCTCCTGGGACAGTGCAGGCTGCAGCAACAGCACCAGCAAGCTCCAGAAAGAGCAAAGAGTAGAGAGAGCTGGGGGAGGAGGTGTTTTTCTGGCCTCCCCCACCAGCGCCCTCTAGTGTCTACTGTGTGGTAGTGCCGGCTCTGCTCGCTACCACACAGTAAACACTGCTCTGCACAGAGTCGGGCATAGCGGACCGGCCCGAACACAATCAGGTTGATTGTGTTCGGCCCGGCCCACCGGGCAAGTGCCCGGTTTGCCCTATGGCCAGTCCGGCCCTGCTCGCACTGCTACAGCCTTATTCGGGTGGCGCTTTTCTACAAAATTTTGCTCTTATTGCAAGACATTGCTTGTATATCAAGGCAAATTTTTTCAGAAATGTTTGCTTGTCTTGCAAAACGCTATTAAACCAAGTTACTTGTAAACCAAGGTATTACTGTATTTGTATTTTAGAATTCTTACCTGGACAACTCTTTCTTGCGGTCCTTATTAGATTTAACACTGAAAGTGCTTGAAAAATGCTATTGCATACTTTTTTTGACATGTAACTGGAATACATTGCTGGTTGACTCAGATGTAACTGGGATACACTGCTGGTTGACTTATTTTTTTTATTTTCACAATATTGCTATTACTATCAGTATGACCTAATTGTTCTCGGCAAGTGTATTTTGACCTTATGTACAATAGTGTCTGTATATTTACCTACAATTTTTTAGGTTATCCAGTAAGGACCAGGTTTTTTAAGTTCATGCACTGTGCTCCCTGATTTTTTTTTATCCTCCATTTATACCCTTGTAGTCTATTTTAGTGGACGCACTGTCTTTTAAAAATTTTGAGTAGGTATTTTGTGTTTTATACCATTTATTATATATACAGTAGAGACTACAATTCAGAGTGTACTACTAAGATCAATTTGCAGGGGTCAGAACCAGAAATAAAGATGCCATAATCTTCTGCTTCACTCTTCACAAAATTAATAAGCAACTTTCTTTAATTCGCATAAAATTTATTTGCTTTTACTTAAATTCTATATTTTTCCTTTTCAGGTATGGCGCTTCAGTACAGCATTCAGCACAGTGAAGGAGTGGAAATTTGCTGATGTTGTTAGCATGGCTGACCATTTGAAAAAATGCAGCTACAACACTGTAGAGAGAAGAGAAGACGCTGTTCCCCTTCCATGTATGTGTGTGACTCGGGAACTCACTAAAGAAGGACGCTCGCTTCGATCAGTCTTGAAGCCTGTCTGGTCTTCAGACTAAGCACAAGCACCAACATTCAAGCACAATTTTAACCTTTGGTTTTATTTTTGACACTTTCATATTTAAAAAAAAAAAAGCCACAATGTCTGTGTGTGTTTTATATGTTTGTATGTATATCTCAGTGGTTTTGGAAGTGATGTGGTTTTTTTTTTTTTTATCAACGCAAATAGTTTGTGTGAAAAAATGCCTTAAAACCCTTTGCGATTTGAATATTGCTGGTCATGGACTTAAATATAGAAGTGGCAATGAACAAAAACGTGTTGCTTAACTCTTCATCTTTATTCACAGTTTTCTTATTAGTGCTCACTGTTATCCAGTAATACACAGAAACAATCAAGGAGCAACTGTTAGCGATTTATTTTCACATGATAAAACAATGTTTCAGCTAATTGTATTTCCAGCATAAACCTCAGTATTGTCACTTTGCAAACCTCATGTGTGTTCACATTTTGTCTAGTGCTAGTGTTTAGCCTTCTGTTAAATGTACCTCTTATTTGGAGCTCTTTTTTAGTAGCAGTTGACCTGAGCTTTAATGGTGCAATTTGTTCTTGGCAATATTCCTACATCTCAGAACATGCATTTATATTTAAGCACATAAGGAACATTACCACACTTAGTAACTTAGTATTTCACTTAATTGCTGTGGAAAGTTTCACTCTACATTGGGGGGATCAATTTCAGTCACTTGAAACATCTGTTATTATTTTTTGCTAATCAGGGGAATATTTTTTACTTATTTGTAAGATGAGATATAAAGCAAACCCCAGTAAGATGGACATAGTCTTCCATTGTTAAGCTTAGCTGCAGTGCCTTACAGACGAAACACTGTTATCTATTTGTCCTTTTTTAAATAATTTTTTTTTTTAGGGTCAGCCACTCTTTCCCAGCACCCCTTTCATGTGCTTGAAAAATGTTTTAACTTCTGTCAGGTTTTGATTGTTTTCCCTATCAGTAGGATTGCCCTGCATTTCCTGTCCCTGGAATTTTTCTTAAGTAAGGGTATCTCCCCATTGGAAGAGCTCACGAACGCTCCTGTTCCAGTAACAGATAAAAAAAATTAAACTCCCCTCACTTCCTTCTCAGCAACAGTGTTCACCCCTCCCACTCCCAGCAAGCCTCCGTTTTTTGCTAGTGTCCTTAGGAGAACAGATGTCTTCTCTCTGCTCTTAGAGAAGCAAACAACTTTTTTTCTCATTTCTGCCTGAGGGTTCTAAGCCTAATGATGGCCCCCGTCAAGGCAGTCCCATATGCCCAGTTTCACTGCAGACCATCGCAACACACCTTTATGGCAGCTTGGGGCAAGCAGGCTTTAGTCCCTGGTTCACCACCTCACTGCATCATAGCAATATTATGGATGTTTGTGTTCTCTCTGCTGCCTACAGTAACTAGTCACTGAAGGCTTAACCCTTCCTGCTCTGCAATGCATGTTAATGAGTACCACTAGTAGGATATTCTTCAGTATTCTATAGCAGATCATAGGCACAAGGGAGATGCTCAGCTATGGTGGATCTGCAGTATTTCCCCTAAGAATTCTGTTTCTGCAAGCCCAGATTGTTGTCCCTCCTTCTTAAAGGAGAACTTTGGGGTTAAGGTTTTTCCCCATAGTTCTCCTTAGGGTAACGGGAGGACACAAACTAGTGTCCTCCCGTCACCCTAGGCTCAGTATACCGCGAGCTGTAGCTCGCGGTATACTGAGACCCTGCAGATAAAGCGGATCCCGACAATTATGCCTGGATCCGCCAAGCTGCGTGATTGACACCTGGCTCTGCCTATGTAGAGGCAGAGCCAGCTGTACCCGCCCTCTCCCCGTCCGTTCGCCAGTCAGCGCTGGCGGATCGGGGAGGGGGGAATCCAGCCCCTCCCCTGTCACGGCAGAGAGCCATGACAGGATCGAGAGGTGAGCGAACGCCGGTATGTGTTCGCTCACCTCCCGATCTACTGAGCCGACCTGTGACAGTCTCATTGTCACACGTCGGCTAGAACTATGAGTGAAAAGCACTCACCTCATAGTTCTCCTTTTAACCCTTTCAAGGGTGTCCCCTTGCTCTTACTTATGAAGAGAGTAATAGTCTGCCACAGTGCCTGAATTAATGGGAAATCTTTCAGCTCTATTAGAGGCCACAGGGTCCTCAATGCTTTCAGCGAGGCAAGGAAATAAATCCCAGGAAGTACTCCTTTGGATAATAACTGTCTTTTCTCCAGTCTGGTCTCGATTAGCATTTTGCCTTGACTACCATCAAGGGACACATTTTGGCCTTTTTCGTTCCCCAATGAGTCCGTGGGATCTTAGCTTAGTCCTGTCTGTAATTCAGAGACTGCCCTTTGAGCCTATTGAAGATATTCCTCTGTCTACCCTTACTTGCAAGGTTGCCTTCCTCATTGCCATAACGTTTGAAAGGCAAGTTTCTGAGTTGGCATCCTTGACCTTAAACCATTTCTTGCTTTACACAAAGGCCCCTTCCTTCCACTATTACTAGTTGAATTTGACAGCTTGGTATCCAAGCTTAGGACCTCAAGGGCAAGGTTTCCCCTTTTCCAGTCAGGACATATGCCACTTGATCCGTTAGTGCTTCCTGGGCCTTTTTAACATCAAGCTTTAGTTATTCAGATTTGCAAGGCTGGTCTGCATTTTACATGTTTTATGTTTTACCAGGTGGACATTAGAGCCCCACTGGGTGACGGCTTAGGTTGTAAGGTTTTTTAAAGGTCCCTAAAGGCTGTAGGGCCCCATATATTCCTTTGTTCTTGTTGGGGCCTGTTAGCCATTTGTTTGCTTGTTGCTTGCCCCTCAATTGGATTGCTTTTGGATGCCCCATGGATCCAGAAAACCAGTCTGTGTCCAGTCATGCAAAGTTAAGAAAATAGGGTTTTTGTCTTTCCTAGAAAAAAATCTTTTTTCTTAGATTACATTATATGACACACAATCACCTTTGTTTCTTATGATCCACTCCTATTATTGCTTGCCAAAAAGCTGAAGATTGCTGGAAGTGGGATGTGGTATACAGATCTGTCATTTACAGCTTTGTTTGTGAGTGTCCCAGTCTCCTGAAGGCAGCTGCAATTCCAGAATACCATCTTGTATCCTGTAATGTACTCCAAGAAAAGGATTTTACAGGTAAGACAAAAGTCCTCTTTTTCTTGGGAACTTTGTTGTGCATCTTGCTTAGTACCGCCCAGCTACCTCTTTAAAATTCTCTCAGCCAGACTCTGCTCCTCCTGTGCATTCGCTCTCAAACTCTAATCATTCTTATAAAAAAACCGTACACCACCAGGACAAGTGGTGAATGTCCTTTCCGTAAATGAATGGACATGATTATTTAAAGATCTTAAATATATATTAGCTTATAAACAATAATGTGAACCTGTGCCTAGACTTTGCACTCTAAATGAGTTTTGTATTCTAAATAACCAGTAAAAGAACTTTAAAATAAGGCATCATTTTCCTCTGTAGCCATAGGCATGTAGTGAAATGTATCTTCTAAGTTCACAACAGAGGCATTGAAATCTTTACTCTTTCTATTACTTGCTATTGCAGCAGAATGTTGACAGACTGTCAGCCCTTTAATGCAGAGGTAGTCAAACGTCCACATGCCCACCTGTTGTCGAACTAGAAGTTCCATATGGCAGTGTCAGGGGCATGACTTTCAGAGACAGATGCATGGTGGCAAGAGCATCCAGGAGCAGCTTGTTTTAAAGCTCTTTTACTGCCTGTTAAGAATATGTACAGTTCAATGTCGATAGTCTGTACTCTTTCATATGTTGGCTATATCAGAAGTCAATTTACGCTAAACATCTCTTGACAATAAATGCAGTCTCCTCTTTTTCCTTGATACCTATTCTTTTGTGCTGTGAAAGATTTTCTATCAGTAAATCTCACCTTTTTACATTACAGTTGCTGCTGATTTGAAAAGGCACAGTAGCCCTCTGATGGGGTGGTGTTTATGATTGAGTAATTTATGATTTAAGTGTTCCTTTTTGCAGGAGTATTTTTAAGTGGATGCTGGCAAGAGTATAAAGTTGACGATTACTGTAACTTCACTTCTTCACTTTATTTCTGTTCTGGCACTCATTCTGCACACCCCTGCAAGCTGACCCTGGATAGTTTTATCATATAAGCATGTTTCTTCTCCCCTTTTTTTTGTTTGTTTAGCTATCCTTACAGCTTTACCACCCCTGAGACAGTGTATTTTTGTTTTTATTTTGTATTTGTGTAAAACTTTAGTGTGTGTTATTATAGCCTAATGTTGGTTTTTTTTCTTTTGGTTTTGGCTAGAGTAGAGATGTCGTAAAGGTAAACCCTGTGTCAGGTTATTTTTGCTATCTATGTACAGTTGGGAAAGAAATCCCTTCACTTCCTGACTCATAGATGCAACAGGGAGTTAGAGGAAATCCTGAAGTGATTTAAATTCCTCTCTATAGACAATTTACTCCTGAATTAGGTGTCCCCATTGGAAGCTTTCCACTCAACTCTAGTTGATGGTGACAACTTGGATTTCTCCTCACTTTCTGTCACTATGGCCACCTGTTATCAGAAACACAAGACAACAATAAAAACCCGAAAGAGGGGCTAATCTTTCCCACACTACCCAAAACTATTTTTTTTTTTAATTCTTGCTTAGAGTTGCTTTAAGTGGCCAAAGAACAAAGGTAAGGGTTTTTGATAACACTGAATTTATGTTTAAATTGCCTACCTGATTTGTATGACATTATTTATATTCTTAGCTTTAAAGACCATTATTATACTTAAAGGATGTGAATTTGTTTTATATACTTGACTGTCCACTGTATCCAATGTCTACTGTTCTAAACCTGTGATCAGTGTCAGGCCAATAGCAGTCTGTGGACTGTGTTTGACAATTAAGTCAAGTGAGCTGCCAGTGGGTGATATTTTGGAAATTGTAAAGCATGGAACTTTAAAACATCAGGACAAGTATATAAACACGCATGAAGACCTAAAGTCTGTATGAAGACCTTTTTTAATTAAGCAAATCATTTTTTATATCCAAATAGTCACATTTTGCCTTAACAGTTGTTAGAGCTTATCTAAACCC